TTCATACATCAGATGGTTGTATCCCCTTGGACGGTGCAGCAGTTCTGGTCGATCCTCCAGTTATCGGTGAGCCGAGATTTTCTAAAAGAAACAGAATAAGTATCCTGTGTCAGAACAGGTGCTAATTCATATAATAGCTTATCTTATTATTTTCATATCACAATTCCTATTTCATGTACAGATGATTCAGATGTCAACAAAATGCAACCTGCCCTGCTCTCGCAAAGGAGTCAAACCATTGACACTGTTTCGCACAGAATATGAATATTTTTTCAAATGGTGTATTAGTCATTTCAGTTTAAATTATTCAATTTACGCATCCGGCGACGTTCACAAATGGAAAAAAGGTAGAAGTATGAGTCAGTTGAGAAAAACAGAAAAGTAAGTTAATGTGAAAATAGAACCCCACTGACCATTATTTATTCAAGGGTGCTTTTAATAATATTTTATTCTATTATATTCTACCGAGAAACCTTTTAAGAACTTACACAAAAAACATGTTTTATCATTTTATTTTCTATTTTTATTTTGATAAAAATTCGGTAAAGGAAACGAATATATATAAAGCAAGTGGTTCAAAATGGTGTCAGCATAATGGTTTATCATGGTGTTGTTTCAGATGTTGGAGAGCCTGCTCAGTGAACAAACAGAATGTTTAAAGCGTGGTCCTAAGGAAAACCCGATACTTTGGGATTGTGTTACCGGTGCATGGTGACACTAAATTTCTACGGAAGTTCTTTTGAAGTGCGAGACCACGTTTGACACCTGATTGGACCATAGTGGATTATATACTGGTTTACATTCACACACGGAATGTAAAGTAGATAGCACTGTTATTTAGATATATTCAGAAAACTCGACAAATGTAAAGCCCATGCCAAACATCAATATGTGATTGTGAACACATAATTGTGCACTATGGTTCAATAATAAAGTCTATGTTAAACAGTATTTGTATGGTTTTGTCTGTCGACGAAGATATTGAGTTTGTGAGTGATTGGGTAAAACGCAATGCTTTGGTCAGTAATATGACACATTCCAGGAAGCTCAAGAATCAGTCTATCCAAAAATGTCAACCAAAGATCGGTTCATAATAACAGGACAATTCCAATTGCAATGGTCCTTTTCAGGTTATTCAGGTTATTGTGTATATTAGATGGTTTCCTCATACCTTACATAATCATCCTTACTATTTTAATATTTGATAAACGAACACCTTTCAAACCCAAAGGGACATGATCGAAATACATTTGCAAAAACATACGAGTAATTTCTGATAGGGATCCCCTAAAGGACGATTTATAGTGTGCTTGCTACATGGAGTTGAAAACACAGAATGAGCATGGGTGTATAAACTGGGTAGCTCATGTGAGGATTTTACCATTTATGACAGGTTTGAGATTGTGGTGATATAAACACATTTAGCCGAATGTTAAAACAAAGATGCCTTGATATCTAAATTCAGATTGGTATCAAGGAGTAGGTTCTTCAGCTTTTCTTCGTCATCATAGATCATTTAAATATTTGTTGCCACCTGAAGCATATATACACAGGCCAAAAGGAATTTGTTTAAAAAGTCTCATGAAAGCTTCAGGTATATCGATGATCTGATACTGTTTAATAACGGTAAAATAGCCAATTCCCTTCCACTGATTTAACCACCTATCTGTTGCCCGATCTGTTCCATATTTAGATCTATGCCTAAAGGTTGTATGTCCAGCAATATTCTAGAATCTCCATCCTTTAGTGAAACAGCACATGTTTCTCGTGATCCGATATATCGATTGGAACCACAGGATCGGGAACAGTTTTCAGGAAATTTAATTCAGGTATACCAAGCTACTGTACATGATTTGTAAAGACGCATCAGATAGGAAGGAGACTAGTATAATGGGGTGTAAAGACCTACGGAGACCTAGCGGAGGTAAAGGTTCCACTGATTTAACTATTTGAGACAGAAAAATGGACCTGTGAAACTGCCACATAAATTTCATATTTAGATCTATTTAGATCTAAGATTTAGAATGATAAATATATGATTTGTACAGCTATTTATTATTCACAAATGGTTCAAAATGAGAGTGTTATAAATACGTGTCATAATCATTATCCTTTAACTAGTACATTTATCCATGACATAAGCCTATAACATAAATATGCAAATTCAGGCAAAGAAAAAGCACTTTTTTTGCTTTTGCAGGCGAACTGGTGTTTATAGAATGTAGCAATATAAAAGGTTAACTTCACAGAATAACCAGTCTCGACACCATTGGGCGTAACAGGCAACCAAGTGAAATTATATGAGTGTGTCAATGAAAATCCGTGATGACACAAGGTGTTCGCGATAAACTAGTCTCACACAAGCAACGGAACAACAAGAATAAGTTTGTTGATGTTGGAGACAACGTTTTAATTGATAAATGAGGAGCGATACAGTTACCAGTGTTGCCAAATTGCTATTAAAGGTTACCAGATGGGTACTGATTGATGGTATCGAAATTGAAGTTGACTGACACAGATACAGTCTGTAAATAACTTCCATGACCAATGTCTTGACGAATGGCAACGTACTCTTTTACAATGGCACACCTAAATCTAATGGTTCATCATATTGAGGAAGTCAAATCAACTACTGCTGTGATTAATGTATATAAGAAGTAAAAATCTAGACGTCAGAACGAATAACAAATGGTTTTTCGTGTACACACAATGTCCAAATGTTGTTCAAACAAATTGATACACGCATATAACTGTTTACAAGAGCCACCATTCTCTGAATAATTGCTTAATCATAAATCATCGTCAGCACAAACAAATATCCAAAATAATGTTAGGAAACATTCAATCAAACACATTGAACACAGTTACATCCTAGCTTGATTTGTTCCTGAAACTCTCATCGTGGTTTCAGCATGGGTATTGCCAATCTCAAATTACTCATTTCTTTGGTGGCGTCGGCACTGTTTGCTGGTAATGTAATTGTTTTCAAAAGAAGGATACATTTTATTATACCTCCAGGCCCAAGGCCAGACAAACGACACCTGATTACCATGGAAAGCGACTGTTACATCGACTAAAATTCACTGTTGTCCACATGGATCGAATGACTAAAGTTTTTGAAATTAGACAATCAAATACAACCGAATGAATCGTTATTGTGGTAATAACATTAATACAGTTTCAAATCTGCTACAGCTTATTTCTAACTCGGTGAATGGAGTCTCACAGACGAAGTTATCGGAATTATTATTTTTTTTTTCACTTTGCTGCCAGAGAATATATGTATCTCTACGCATTATAAGATTTCAATAATTTAAGTGTATTTGTTTCTAATCGTGGGAGACTTTGGCGAGACTAAGACTCAGTTGATATTTCACAGTGTTGTGTTTACGCTGACATTAACAGAGATAACGTTCTCATAAACAAGATTCATTTCTATTTACTGATGGCATTAATAATAACACACAGACGGCCATGTGTATACGCTTAGCCATCACCCCTGGCTTTGGTAGATATAGATGGAAACTTTGTCCTATATGTAGACAGAACATGCGTACGCTTTAAATGTGTATGCTAGATTATATGAAAAGTGCCTTCTGTCCCCTTCACAGACAGGGAATGTATAATTTTACTGATTTTCAGATTCGTAAAATGACCACTATTGATGCTTATTATAGGTTCAACCTCCCAGATTTTATAATTATAAGTAAAGCTGAAATCAACTTTTCTACGATCATAAAAAATCCCAACCAAAAGCAGAGTCCATTGTTCGATTCCTCGGATCGATGATCATAATATCAATCACTGGATTGTCTGGCTCAGACTCGATTATTCACAGACCAACGTCATATAGGTGGAATATTGCTAAGTCAATATTTAAACGACAAACAAAGAAACAGCAAACAAACAGTGATCATATCAGCTGTTCGCGAAACGTCAAGCCTGTCCTGCCCTTCGGTGACACCCAGGCAAGTCAGTTGGTCTGCAGTAAATACAAGGGAACATATCTTCCAAATGAAAATAGCGACTTGCATCAGACATCACTTTTGTCACTCGTGTGTCAAATTGGGACATGTTCTCCACATGTTATTGGTTTACTAAGGCCTTGAATGTCGTAAACTCTGATCAAATGTTGTTTGAGCAGGAGTCGTACAACGCCCTTTGAAAGCTTCGTAGAAGGAGCAAGCTCGTTTGTACCCCAAAAGTTGTGAAATGAAGACAGGTGGAATATGGCTCGACATAAAGGGAAGTTGGCTGTTGGAAAGTTAAAGTCATTCAAAGTGTCTCGCGATATTATGTACAGTTTTTATCATTCTGAACCTTTTTCACATAGATCTAAATATGAAACAGTTGAGGCAGTTTCACTGATCTCCTTTGTTTCTAGCCCAGATGGTTAAATCAGTGGAACCTTTACCTCCGCTGAAGTGCGTTTTTACACCAATTTTATACTCGCCTCCTTCCACTTAAATACGTACAGTTTCTCATGTACAGTAACTTATTATACCTAAATTAACTTTTCTGAACAATAATCCTGAACCTGTTGTTCGAACCGGTATATCGGATCGCGCGCTCGATGCTGTCAAGAGAAATATGTATTGCACGTGCGATAAACGTATATTTCTGCATTGGGAGGGGGAAAGGGAAACCACGCAATTATTTGTCTATGCTCGATATGTGAGATGTTTCATATTTTCCCAAATTTTCTAGCAATTTGCATTGTTTATGTAGGTATCTACACTAGATAAAAAATACTTTGATTTGGGCTGTAAATAAAAGCGACAAAACACTCGAATAGCAGTGATAAAGTAGTTACAATCCCATCCAAACCTCAGAGTCATAACTATTTAACAAACACAAATACTGGATATTTAGCTCTTCCTTTAATGACCTTGATTCCACCATAGGAAAACAATCAACATTGACCTTCAAACAATGCATTTCTCATAATATATATAGTATTCAGTATGAGTAAGGCAGTCATAGCTCTGATATTCATACCGAACAGCGCCAGCACAGAACAACAGAACATCATGAACTCCGCCAAAGTCACTGTCTTGTTCCTGATCGCCATCAGTAAGTATAAATATATATTTGCATCAATTGGTAACTTTGTGTTCAGAAATCTCAATGAAAGCATCGATATTCGTTTGTCTTAGTATTGAAACATGCTGATAAGGAACAGAATATGACATTATCATAAACAGTCGTCATGCCAGGATCCGCTGATCATTTGTTTGAATCTTAATTTTCCCCCAAGTCTTGGTTTGCCATCTCTGTAATCATGGGTTTCAAGAAAGTTGTAAACGTCTCGGACGTGCATCTCTTTTCTCTGATGTTTTACAACTTTCAATTAACATTCATGGCTGTCATATTGAAGTACAAAGTATTTATAGGTGTTTCAGTTCCATCAATATTTCATATGTTCAATTATTTTAACATTTCTTTTTAGGCATTTCGATTTCCATTGCAAGCAACAAAAGAGGTAACTACATTAACTGACTTGTGATCAACTGGTTAAATATAATACCCAATGAAAGGCTTGTTTCCCCAATACATAAAAGCCAGCCTCGACGATAAGAGTACTTCGTGTTTTTTTTATTTATTTATGTAATTTATACGTGTAACTGCAACTTTTCATCCTATATATCTGTATGTCTGTTACAGAAATGGATAGATCAGTATCAACATCAACATCAGCTTCAACATCAACATCAACATCAACATCAACATCAACATCAACTTCATCCTCTACATCTTCGTCTACTGAAAATGGAGCACGTAAGTTTCTGATGAGACAGGAGGTTCGAACTAACCAACTGAATTTAGTTCTGCATCCGCCAAACCGCTACCGCATGTGGTACAGGGACCTTGTGATAGATTGAATTTGGTTCCATAATGAAAGACGTTTAGATAAATCTTGTGCCTGTTTTATGCAGTTGAAACAATGATGAAAAACCTCATCGCAATTTTGCGGCAACGTAAACTTTTCTCTCTAATCCGTTGCTTTGATGGCAAATAAGAAAAACAAACATATTGATACTTTGAGATGGTTTTATGGTTTTACTATTAGGAGCAAACAAAATGAATAATGGACACAGTGAATCAAAAGCTTTGGTACTAAAATTGTTTCTCTTTTCTGACCATATCTCAGAAAAGTATGACATGAGGGACAAATGTGACAGAACACCGTCTAAACGGTACACAAACGATAATCGTCATAAACATTTCTTTGTTGATACTGAATCTAAAAGAAACACACACAAAATACATTCTGTACCAATTCGCCAGCCTCAGCTTCAATTGTCAGGTCGTGATTTTTCTTAAATGTGTTAAGCAGTTGGTTCCAGTGATGATGATATGAGATGTACTTATATCGTGGGATTGTGGTGTTTCATCATGAACGTATGACGATTTATCAAGTAAAGATAATTTTATTCCAGCCGGATTTGCACCTTCAATTCTCGGAGCCAACGGTAAGCACCTACCTCACTTGAAAAGTATCATCCGTCATGAATGCAAAAGAAATAAATGGAATAACAGTAACCTAAAGTATAACATAGACCATACGCATCGGTTGGTTTTTAAACTGAAGAGCATATACGCTTAAGTGAATGCAAATACATGTACCATTATGATGATAACATGGCACCACAGTCCTAATGTAAATCATATTTTGAATATTCTTGTCCTTCCAGGATAAGAATGCGTCGGAGGAAAGGTCTTTTCAATAATACAAACTGTATATCGAGATTCACCATGCCGATTCTAAGGTTCCAGAGTAGGATCAACTTTGGCAAGGTAGTTTGTAATGCCCTTATAAAACACCAATGACGGATTTTGACATTTGCTTCGGATTTTAAAAACAAATATTTGAAAAACAACGTCACTTTCCTGTCATAGATACTCTTGTTAATATTAGCTGTCAATGCAAGAGAATAACCAATCAAGATTATACGCCGAAACAGATTCCATTTGACCGAAAGTGAAAACTAGCTGTTAAAATTATATGAATGGACCACTGAAAATCAGTGATCACACCAAGTTTTCGCGGAAAGGGTAATCATGTCAAGGAACATGTTCACAATGTGGTAATGGCGCTCAACCATAGTACATCCAATCCCTCTTAGAAAGCACACATTGTGCTGGGGTCAATGTTTAACTACAGCAAGGAATATTTCTTTCTTCATACATCAGATGGTTGTATCCCCTTGGACGGTGCAGCAGTTCTGGTCGATCCTCCAGTTATCGGTGTGCCGAGATTTTCTAAAAGAAACAGAATAAGTATCCTGTGTCAGAACAGGTGCTAATTCATATAATAGCTTATCTTATTATTTTCATATCACAATTCCTATTTCATGTACAGATGATTCAGATGTCAACAAAATGCAACCTGCCCTGCTCTCGCAAAGGAGTCAAACCATTGACACTGTTTCGCACAGAATATGAATATTTTTTCAAATGGTGTATTAGTCATTTCAGTTTAAATTATTCAATTTACGCATCCGGCGACGTTCACAAATGGAAAAAAGGTAGAAGTATGAGTCAGTTGAGAAAAACAGAAAAGTAAGTTAATGTGAAAATAGAACCCCACTGACCATTATTTATTCAAGGGTGCTTTTAATAATATTTTATTCTATTATATTCTACCGAGAAACCTTTTAAGAACTTACACAAAAAACATGTTTTATCATTTTATTTTCTATTTTTATTTTGATAAAAATTCAGTAATGGGAACGAATATATATAAAGCAAGTGGTTCAAAATGGTGTCAGCATAATGGTTTATCATGGTGTTGTTTCAGATGTTGGAGAGCCTGCTCAGTGAACAAACAGAATGTTTAAAGCGTGGTCCTAAGGAAAACCCGATACTTTGGGATTGTGTTACCGGTGCATGGTGACACTAAATTTCTACGGAAGTTCTTTTGAAGTGCGAGACCACGTTTGACGCCTGATTGGACCATAGTGGATTATATACTGGTTTACATTCACACACGGAATGTAAAGTAGATAGCACTGTTATTTAGATATATTCAGAAAACTCGACAAATGTAAAGCCCATGCCAAACATCAATATGTGATTGTGAACACATAATTGTGCACTATGGTTCAATAATAAAGTCTATGTTAAACAGTATTTGTATGGTTTTGTCTGTCGACGAAGATATTTTGTTTGTGAGTGATTGGGTAAAACGCAATGCTTTGGTCAGTAATATGACACATTCCAGGAAGCTCAAGAATCAGTCTATCCAAAAATGTCAACCAAAGATCGGTTCATAATAACAGGACAATTCCAATTGCAATGGTCCTTTTCAGGTTATTCAGGTTATTTTGTATATTAGATGGTTTCCTCATACCTTACATAATCATCCTTACTATTTTAATATTTGATAAACGAACAACTTTCAAACCCACAGGGACATGATCGAAATACATTTGCAAAAACATACGAGTAATTTCTGATAGGGATCCCCTAAAGGACGATTTATAGTGTGCTTGCTACATGGAGTTGAAAACACAGAATGAGCATGGGTGTATAAACTGGGTAGCTCATGTGAGGATTTTACCATTTATGACAGGTTTGAGATTGTGGTGATATAAACACATTTAGCCGAATGTTAAAACAAAGATGCCTTGATATCTAAATTCAGATTGGTATCAAGGAGTAGGTTCTTCAGCTTTTCTTCGTCATCATAGATCATTTAAATATTTGTTCCCACCTGAAGCATATATACACAGGCCAAAAGGAATTTGTTTAAAAAGTCTAATGAAAGCTTCAGGTATATCGATGATCTGATACTGTTTAATAACGGTAAAATAGCCAATTCCCTTCCACTGATTTAACCACCTATCTGTTGCCCGATCTGTTCCATATTTAGATCTATGCCTAAAGGTTGTATGTCCAGCAATATTCTAGAATCTCCATCCTTTAGTGAAACAGCACATGTTTCTCGTGATCCGATATATCGATTGGAACCACAGGATCGGGAACAGTTTTCAGGAAATTTAATTCAGGTATACCAAGCTACTGTACATGATTTGTAAAGACGCATCAGATAGGAAGGAGACTAGTATAATGGGGTGTAAAGACCTACGGAGACCTAGCGGAGGTAAAGGTTCCACTGATTTAACCATTTTAGACAGAAAAATGGACCTGTGAAACTGCCACATAAATTTCATATTTAGATGTATTTAGATCTAAGATTTAGAATGATAAATATATGATCTGTACAGCTATTTATTATTCACAAATGGTTCAAAATGAGAGTGTTATAAATACGTGTAATAATCATTATCCTTTAACTAATACATTTATCCATGACATAAGCCTATAACATAAATATGCAAATTCAGGCAAAGAAAAAGCACTTTTTTTGCTTTTGCAGGCGAACTGGTGTTTATAGAATGTAGCAATATAAAAGGTTAACTTCACAGAATAACCAGTCTCGACACCATTGGGCGTAACAGGCAACCAAGTGAAATTATATGAGTGTGTCAATGAAAATCCGTGATGACACCAGGTGTTCGCGATAAACTGGTCTCACACAAGCAACGGAACAACAAGAATAAGTTTGTTGATGTTGGAGACAACGTTTTAATTGATAAATGAGGAGCGATACAGTTACCAGTGTTGCCAAATTGCTATTAAAGGTTGCCAGATGGTTACTGATTGATGGTATCGAAATTGAAGTTGACTGACACAGATACAGTCTGTAAATAACTTCCATGACCAATGTCTTGACGAATGGCAACGTACTCATTTACAATGGCACACCTAAATCTAATGGTTCATCATATTGAGGAAGTCAAATCAACTACTGCTGTGATTAATGTATATAAGAAGTAAAAATCTAGACGTCAGAACGAATAACAAATGTTTTTTCGTGTACACACAATGTCCAATTGTTGTTCCAACAAATTGATACACGCATATAACTGTTTACAAGAGCCACCATTCTCTGAATAATTGCTTAATCATAAATCATCGTCAGCACAAACAAATATCCAAAATAATGTTAGGAAACATTCAATCAAACACATTGAACACAGTTACATCCTAGCTTGATTTGTTCCTGAAACTCTCATCGTGGTTTCAGCATGGGTATTGCCAATCTCAAATTACTCATTTCTTTGGTGGCGTCGGCACTGTTTGCTGGTAATGTAATTGTTTTCAAAAGAAGGATACATTTTATTATACCTCCAGGCCCAAGGCCAGACAAACGACACCTGATTACCATGGAAAGCGACTGTTACATCGACTAAAATTCACTGTTGTCCACATGGATCGAATGACTAAAGTTTTTGAAATTAGACAATCAAATACAACCGAATGAATCGTTATTGTGGTAATAACATTGATACATTTTCAAATCTGCTACAGCTTATTTCTAGATCGGTGAATGGAGTCTCACAGACGAAGTTATCGGAATATTATTTTTTTTTCACTTTGCTGCCAGAGAATATATGTATCTCTACGCATTATAAGATTTCAATGATTTAAGTGTATTTGTTTCTAATCTTGGGAGACTTTGGCGAGACTAAGACTCAGTTGATATTTCACAGTGTTGTGTTTACGCTGACATTAACAGAGATAACGTTCTCATAAACAACATTCATTTCTATTTACTGATGGCATTAATAATAACACACAGACGGCCATGTGTATACGCTCAGCCATCACCCCTGGCTTTGGTAGATATAGATGGAAACTTTGTCCTATATGTAGACAGAACATGCGTACGCTTTAAATGTGTATGCTAGATTATATGAAAAGTGTCTTCTGTCCCCTTCACAGACAGGGAATGTATAATTTTACTGATTTTCAGATTCGTAAAATGACCACTATTGATGCTTATTATAGGTTCAACCTCCCAGATTTTATAATTATAAGTAAAGCTGAAATCAACTTTTCTACAATCATAAAAAATCCCAACCAAAAGCAGAGTCCATTGTTCGATTCCTCGGATCGATGATCATAATATAATCACTGGATTGTCTGGCTCAGACTCGATTATTCACAGACCAACGTCATATAGGTGGAATATTGCTAAGTCCATCATTAAACGACAAACAAAGAAACAGCAAACAAACAGTGATCATATCAGCTGTTCGCGAAACGTCAAGCCTGTCCTGCCCTTCGGTGACACCCAGGCAAGTCGGTTGGTCTGCAGTAAATACAAGGGAACATATCTTCCAAATGAAAATAGCGACTTGCATCAGACATCACTTTTGTCACTCGTGTGTCAAATTGGGACATGTTCTCCACATGTTATTGGTTTACTAAGGCCTTGAATGTCGTAAACTCTGATCAAATGTTGTTTGAGCAGGAGTCGTACAACGCCCTTTGAAAGCTTCGTAGAAGGAGCAAGCTCGTTTGTACCCCAAAAGTTGTGAAATGAAGACAGGTGGAATATGGCTCGACATAAAGGGAAGTTGGCTGTTGGAAAGTTAAAGTCATTCAAAGTGTCTCGCGATATTATGTACAGTTTTTATCATTCTGAACCTTTTTCACATAGATCTAAATATGAAACAGTTGAGGCAGTTTCACTGGTCTCCTTTATTTCTAGGCCAGATGGTTAAATCAGTGGAACCTTAACCTCCGCTGAAGTGTGTTTTAGCACCAACTATACTAGCCACCCTCCACTTAAATACGTACAGTTTCTCAAGTACAGTAACTTATTATACCAAAATTACTTTTTCTGAACAATAATCCTGAACCTGTTGTTCGAACCGGTATATCGGATCGCGCGCTTGTTGCTGTTATTAGAAATATGTATTGCACATGCGGTACACGTACATTTCTGCATTGGGAGGGGGAAAGGGAAACCACGCAATTATTTGTCTTTGCTCGATATGTGAGATGTTTCATATTTTCCTAATAATTCTAGCACATTGCATTGTTTATGTAGGGATCTACGATAGATTAAACACTTTGATTTGGGCTGTACATAAAAGCGACAAAACACTCGGATAGCAGTGATAAAGTAGTTACAATCCCATCCAAACCTCAGAGTCATGTTGTATCCTTTTCAAGGTATATGATAACATTTACATTCATATTGTCATTACTATTTAACAAACACAAATACTGGATATTTATCTCTTCCTTTAATGACATTGATTCCACCATAGGAAAACAATCAACATTGACCTTCAAACAATGCATATCTCATAATGTATATAGCATTCAGTATAAGTAAGGCAGTCAAAGCTCTGATATTCATACCGAACAGCGCCAGCACAGAACAACAGAACATCATGAACTCCGCCAAAGTCACTGTCTTGTTCCTGATCGCCATCAGTAAGTATAAATATATATTTGCATCAATTGGTAACTTTGTGTTTAGAAATCTCAATGAAAGCATCGATATTCGTTTGTCTTAGTATTGAAACATGCTGATAAGGAACAGAATATGACATTATCATAAACAGTCGTCATGCCAGGATCCGCTGATCATTTGTTTGAATCTTAATTTTCCCCCAAGTCTTGGTTTGCCATCTCTGTAATCATGGGTTTCAAGAAAGTTGTAAACGTCTCGGACGTGCATCTCTTTTCTCTGATGTTTTACCACTTTCAATCAACATTCATGGCTGTCATATTGAAGTACAAAGTATTTAAAGATGTTTCAGTTCCATCAATATTTCATATGTTCAATTATTTTAACATTTCTTTTTAGGCATTTCGATTTCCATTGCAAGCAACAAAAGAGGTAACTACATTAACTGACTTGTGATCAACTGGTTAAATATAATACCCAATGAAAGGCTTGTTTCCCCAATACATAAAAGCCAGCCTCGACGATAAGAGTACTTCGTTTATTTATTTATTTATGTAATTTATACGTGTAACTGCAACTTTTCATCCTATATATCTGTATGTCTGTTACAGAAATGGATAGATCAGTATCAACATCAACATCAACATCAACATCAACATCAACATCAACTTCATCCTCTACATCTTCGTCTACTGAAAATGGAGCACGTAAGTTTCTGATGAGACAGGAGGTTCGAACTAACCAACTGAATTTAGTTCTGCATCCGCCAAACCGCTACCGCATGTGGTACAGGGACCTTGTGATAGATTGAATTTGGTTCCATAATGAAAGACGTTTAGATAAGTCTTGTGCCTGTTTTATGCAGTTGAAACAATGATGAAAAACCTCATCGCAATTTTGCGGCAAAGTAAACTTTTCTCTCTAATCCGTTGTTTTGATGGCAAATAAGAAAAACAAACATATTGATACTTTGAGATGGTTTTATGGTTTTACTATTAGGAGCAAACAAAATGAATAATGGACACAGTGAATCAAAAGCTTTGGTACTAAAATTGTTTCTCTTTTCTGACCATATCTCAGAAAAGTATGACATGAGGGACAATTGTGACAGAACACCGTCTAAACGGTACACAAACGATAATCGTCATAAACATTTCTTTGTTGATACTGAATCTAAAAGAAACACACACAAAATACATTCTGTACCAATTCGCCAGCCTCAGCTTCAATTGTCAGGTCGTGATTTTTCTTAAGTGTGTTTAGCAGTTGGTTCCAGTGATGATGATATGAGATGTACTTATATCGTGGGATAGTGGTGTTTCATCATGAACGTATGACGATTTATCAAGTAAAGATAATTTTATTCCAGCCGGATTTGCACCTTCAATTCTCGGAGCCAACGGTAAGCACCTACCTCACTTGAAAAGTATCATCCGTCATGAATGCAAAAGAAATAAATGGAATAACAGTAACCTAAAGTATAACATAGACCATACGCATCGGTTTGTTTTTAAACTGAAGAGCACATACGCTTAACTGAATGCAAATACATGTACCATTATGATGATAACATGGCACCACAGTCCTAATGTAAATCATATTTTGAATATTATTTCCTTCCAGGACAAGAATGCGTCGGAGGTAAGGTCTTTTCAATAAAACGAACTGTATATCGAGATTCACCATGCCGATTCTAAGGTTCCAGAGTAGGATCAAGTTTGGCAAGGTAGTTTGTAATGCCCTTATAAAACACCAATGACGGATTTTGACAGCGTCAGCTTCCTGTCATAGATACTCTTGTTAATATTAACTGTCAATGCAAGAGAATAACCAATCAAGCTTGTACGCCGAAACACATTCCATTTGACCGAAAGTGAAAACTAGCTGTGAAAATTATATGAATGGACCACTGAAAATCAGTGATCACACCAAGTTTTCGCGGAAAGGGTAATCATGTCAAGGAACATGTTCACAATGTGGTAATGGCGCTCAACCATAGTACATCCCATCCCTCTTAGAAAGCACACATTGTGCTGGGGTCAATGTTTAACTACAGCAAGGAATGTTTTTCTCTTCATACATCAGATGGTTGTATCCCCTTGGACGGTGCAGCAGTTCTGGTCGATCCTCCAGTTATCGGTGAGCCGAGATTTTCTAAAAGAAACAGAATAAGTATCCTGTGTCAGAACAGGTGCTAATTCATATAATAGCTTATCTTATTATTTTCATATCACAATTCCTATTTCATGTACAGATGATTCAGATGTCAACAAAATGCAACCTGCCCTGCTCTCGCAAAGGAGTCAAACCATTGACACTGTTTCGCACAGAATATGAATATTTTTTCAAATGGTGTATTAGTCATTTCAGTTTAAATTACTCAATTTACGCATCCGGCGACGTTCACAAATGGAAAAATGGTAGAAGTATGAGTCAGTTGAGAAAAACAGAAAAGTAAGTTAATGTGAAAATAGAACCCCCCTGACCATTATTTATTCATGAGTGCTTTAAATAATATTTTATTCTATTATATTCTACCGAGAAACCTTTCAAGAACTTACACAAAAAACATGTTTTATAATTTTATTTTCTATTTTTATTTTGATAAAAATTCGGTAATGGAAACGAATATATAAAAAGCAAGTGGTTCAAAATGGTGTCAGCATAATGGTTTATGATGGTGTTGTTTCAGATGTTGGAGAGCCTGCTCAGTGAACAAGCAGAATGTTTAAAGCGTGGTCCTGAGGAAAACCCGATACTTTGGGATTGTGTTACCGGTGCATGGTGACACTAAATTTCTACGGAAGTTCTTTTGAAGTGCGAGACCACGTTTGACGCCTGATTGGACCATAGTGGATTATATACTGGTTTACATTCACACACGGAATGTAAAGTAGATAGCACTGTTATTTAGATATATTCAGATAACTCGACAAATGTAAAGCCCATGCCAAACATCAATATGTGATTGTGACCACATAATTGTGCACTCTGGTTCAATAATAAAGTCTATGTTAAACAGTATTTGTATGGTTTTGTCTGTCGACGAAGATATTGAGTTTGTGATTGATTGGGTAAAACGCAATGCTTTGGTCAGTAATATGACACATTCCAGGAAGCTCAAGAATCAGTCTATCCAAAAATGTCAACCAAAGATCGGTTCATAATAACAGGACAATTCCAATTGCAATGGTCCTTTTGGGGTTATTCAGGTTATTTTGTATATTAGATGGTTTCCTCATACCTTACATAATCATCCTTACTATTTTAATATTTGGTAAACGAACACCTTTCAAACCCAAAGGGACATAATCGAAATACATTTATGACAGGTTTGAGATTGTGGTGATATAAACATGTTTACCCGAATGTTAAAACAAAGATGCATTGATATCTAAATTCAGATTCCTATCAAAGAGAAGGTTCTTCAGCTTTTCTACGTCACCATTAAATCATTTAAATCTTTGTTCCCACCTGAAGCATATATACACAGGGCAAGAGGAATTTGTTTAAAAAGCCTCATGAAAGCTTCAGGTATATCGATGATTTGATCTGTTCCATATTTAGATCTATGACTAAAGGTTGTATGTCCAGCAATATTCTAGAATCTCTATGCTTTAGTGAAACAGCACATGTTTCTCGTGATCCGATATATCGATTGGAACCACAGGATCGGGAATGGTTTTCAGGAAATTTAATTCAGTTATACCAAGTTACTGTACATGATTTGTAAAGACGCATCAGATAGGAAGGAGACTAGTATAATGGGGTGTAAAGACCTACGGAGACCTAGCGGAGGTAAAGGTTCCACTGATTTAACCATTCGGGACAGAAAAAAGAGACCTGTGAAACTGCCACATAAATTTCATTTTAGATCTATTTAGATCTAAGATTCAGAATGATAAATATATGATTTGTACAGCTATTTATTATTCACAAATGGTTCAAAATGAGAGTGTTATAAATACGTGTAATAATCATTATCCTTTAACTAATACATTTATCCATGACATAAGCCTATGACATAAATATGCAAATTCAGGCAAAGAAAAAGCACTTTTTTTGCTTTTGCAGGCGAACTGGTGTTTATACAATGTACAAATATAAAAGGTTAACGTCACAGAATAACCATTGGGCTTAACAGGCAACCAAGGGAAATAATATGAGTGTGTCAATGAAAATCCGTGATGACACAAGGTGTTCGCGATAAACTGGTCTCACACAAGCAACGGAACAACAAGAATAAGTTTGTTGATGTTGGAGACAACGTTTTAATTGATAAATGAGGAGCGATACAGTTACCAGTGTTGCCAAATTGCTATTAAAGGTTACCAGATGGTTACTGATTGATAGTATCGAAATTGAAGTTGACTGACACAGATACAGTCTGTAAATAACTTCCATGACCAATGTCTTGACGAATGGCAACGTACTCTTTTACAATGGCAGACCTAAATCTAATGGTTCATCATATTGAGAAAGTCAAATCATCTACTGCTGTGACTAATGTATATAAGAAGCAAAAATCTAGACGTCAGAACGAATAACAAATGGTTTTTCGTGTGCACACAATGTCCAAATGTTGATCCAACAAATTGATACACGCATATAACGGTTTACAAGAACCACCATTCTCTGAATAATTGCTTAATCATAAATCATCGTCAGCACAAACAAATATCCAAAATAATGTTAGGAAGCATTCAATCAAACACATTGAACACAGTAACATCCTAGCTTGATTTGTTCCTGAAACTCTCATCGTGGTTTATGCATGGGTATTGCCAATCTCAAATTACTCATTTCTTTGGTGGCGTCGGCACTGTTTGCTGATAATGTGATTGTGTCAAATGAAGGATAAATTTTATTATACCTCCAGGCCCAGTGCCAGACAAACGACACCTGATTACCATGGAAAGCGACTGTGACATCGACTAAAATTCACTGTTTCCACATGGTTCGAATGACTAAAGTTTTGAAGTTACACAATCAAATACAACCGAATGAATCGTTATTGTGGTAATAACAATGGACGCATTGAGAACTATTTGTGGGGCGGTTCGGGGTACCAGTCATGTTAAAATATATAACGAAACAAACTTTCTGTCCTTAAAAGAACGACGACACCGCTTCAAATTGATTACATTTTACAAAATGAAAAACAGTATTTCACCTGTATATCTCAACGATCTCATTCCATGTCCAGTCTCTGATAATTTTGACTTAAAATTCAGTCATAGATCATGTCAAATTGTCCACTGTCGCCTTAGGCTCGGCTGCAGTGACCTAAATGCTGATAGGTTTAGACGACATGGATCAGACATGTCAGACTGCACTTGTGGGTATCACTTTGAAGACGCAATTCACTTTTTCTATACCTGTCAAAAATACGATAATATCAGAAACACTGTGTATTTCTACACACATGTGTATGATTTAAAAACGATATTACGTGGCAGTAGTTTAGTTAGCAGTTCTACAAACATGACTATTCCTCAATCAGTGCACGATTTCATTGTCAAAAGCGAAAGATTCGAGTAGCTTAATTTTATGCATGTAGTAATGGAAAACTACTATATCTTATTTCACATACACCAGTTGTATTGGCTTCATATATTTCATTTGTGCATTTAGTACGTTTATGTTTAGCACTATCTTACATATAATCTTATATATAACCAGCTGTTGTAAAGTTATTACATGGAGAGGTATTTACATACGCAAGTTTTGCTTGTTTACCGATCCAGATTTCTTTTGAAATAAAAATATGCTTAAACCACATAAAGGGAAATTGGCTGTTGGAAAGTTAAAGTCATTAAAATTGTCACACAATATTGTGTACAGATTTTACCATTCTGAACCTTTTTCACATAGATCTAATTATGAAACAGTGGATGCAGTTTCACTGGTCTCCTTTATTTCAAGCCCAGATGGTTAAATAAGGGAACCTTTACCTCCGCTGAAGTGCGTTTTAGCACCATTTATACTAGCCCCCCTCATGAGAAATATGTATGCACGTGCGGTACACGTACATTTCTGCATTGGGAGGGGGAAAGGGAAACCACGCAATTATTTGTCTTTGCTCGATATGTGAGATGTTTCATATTTTCCTAATTTTTCTAGCACATTGCGTTTTTTATGTAGGTATCTACGATAGATAAAACACTTTGATTTGGGCTGCACATACAAGCGACAAAACACTTAAATAGCAGGGAAAAAGTAATAACAATCCCATCCAAACCTCGGAGTCATGTTGTATCCTTTTCAAGGTATATGAAAACATTTACAATCATATTGTCATAACTATTTAACAAACACAAATACTGGATATTTATCTCTTCATTTAATGACCTTGATTCCACCATAGGCAAACTATATACATTGACCTTCAAACAATGCACATCGCAAGCTCCGACGCTCATACAGTTTGGCCCTCACTCTATGAAGGTTCATACTCCAATGAACTCACACAAAGTGAAGGTCAATTCTTAAATAAAAATAAGCAAATCCACAATCAGGATTTTTTGGTTCATTATTTGATCGTCTGATGTGTGTGCATGCCGCCGTCGCTTACCAGGAGACTTGCTTTGAGGCGTCAGGTAATAAATGCATACTTTTTACGCAAATCGTGTGAAGGCCGGGTGATGCTGGTAGAGCAGGTTATGATTAGCGTTTTTCCGAACACATGGTGTCATCACTGATTTGCAGTGGGCAATTCATGTAAATTTCACAGCTATTTTGACCTTTACGCCAAATGGAATCTGTTTCGGCGGATAATCAAAACTATTTATTCTCTGGCCTTGACATTTTATATTTGCTACATAACGATGAAAACACACGATGAGGATGGCAGTATAAACCCGGTATATAATGTGACCTGATAATGATTTCAAGGTATTTTGTATATTAGATCTTTTCCTTTATAGACTCTACTTCATCATCCTTACAAGGTCTGTTTAAATAGTTCTAAACCGTAAAGACCATAGTCGCAAAACATTTGTTGATGTTCTTTAAAGTCCCAGGCCATACATCTTCTACCAATAATGAGAATATTCTGTCTTAGATAAAGCATGCATATTGTCACAACACTAATTTTGCGTCATATTGTTACATGTGAGTGAGTATGGCTTTAAGCAATATTCCAGCAATATGACGGCGGGAATTGTTACACGTGCTGATGTATGTTTGCATATGTGGTGAATACTTTTATATGTTGATCAGTATATAAGCTGCAAATTAAACTTGCCTTGAAATAAGGGGCTTTCAGTTGAGTGAATTGCTTGTTATGTAAACGAGTGTACAGTTTGTGATTTGAGTGGATCAAGCAAGGAACTTTTGTGTGTTTAGGGAAAGAAGTTAGCTTATCGGCAAATCACGTGTGATTGTTCAATGGTGTTCAGTGGTGTTCAGTGGTGTTTGTGACTTGGTGTGAAACAGCCTCGTTATTTGTCTCCTCCTGTTTCATCTACAACGAGGACTGTTACTCTGTGTGTGTACCCGGGGGGCACGGGTGGCCCAGTCGTCTAAGGCGCCGCGATTCGCTGTGCAGAGTTGCGTCCCTTAGGCACGCCAGAAACCTATGATTGTGGGTTCGAATCCCGGTTCGCCCCGATTATGTTTCTAGGTTTGTCAGCACCATACCCGTGCTCGTGGGTTTCACCGAAGTGGTAAACGTCTGAGACCTGCATCACTTCGGGCTTTCCTCCCACATTATGCTGACACGCCGCGATATAACTGGAATACTGTTAAAATCGGCGTTAAACCCAACTCACTCACTGTGTGTGTACCCATGTCGGGGTTGAGACATCATAGTAATGCACCTTCAGCCATGAAACACTGAAACAACGATGTCTGAGAATCCTACCCCTGGTGACTATGACTTTGTGTTCTATCAATGCCACATTGCTTTGCAGATATTAATGCTAGGTTCCAATTACTTGTTATCATGTAAACCATTGTGTGTAATGAATGATTCTCAGTGAAGTTCTTCTCAACTCAGATTGTTTTGTAAAACATTTTATTTGTGCGAGTGGTTTGGGGGTATACCCCTCACTTCACCTTCACACGTAACAATATATAAACTAAATTCCATTTTAAAAATATGTTGAGCCCATTTTTTGTGGCAGCGACAAAGACCCAAAAGACATCGTCACTCGTCAGTTCTACACTCTGCAACTGGAGCTGAGTGACTGATACTTTCTAATCATTTGGAAAGTATTCATTATTTGTAAATATTCTATGTCAATACTGCGAGACACATCAAACGGAAACGGTCAATTACTAAATTTGTTAAAGCCGTAACACCACGGAGGTCCACCAATGACACTCTGGGTGTATTGAGGGGCGGTCGGGTAGCCTAGTGGTTAAAGCGTTCGCTTGTCACGCCGAAGACCCAGGTTCGAATCCCGACATTGGTACAATGTGTGAAGCCCATTTCTGGTGTCCCCCGCCATGATATTGCTGGAATAATGCTAAAAGAGGCGTAAAGCCATACTCATTCACTCACCCACTCACTAGGTGTATTGTCGATACATATACGAAGTCCCACCACGACGAAACTGTCTGCGAATTAGCTGATACACAGTGAAAAGTATTGCGAAACTGTAGGTGTTTGGGCCAATACACCTCGAAGTTATGGTGAAACTGAAGTCGATACACCTCGGAGTTCAACAGCGAAACTGTAATTATGGGTCGACACACCTCGATGTCACGACGAAACTGTAGGTTTATTGGTTTAACCACCTCGAAGGTGTAACTGTAGGTGTATTTGTGTCTACATCTAGGAGGTCCAACGACAATGCATCTCGAAAGGTATTTGGATTACTTATCACCCAGGGATACCCCAGAAGCGAACAATGCTGGTCATGAGAGTCGACTGAAATGATCCTGTAGGCAGATTGCGTATCATCATAACCCGACGGCTGTGGACATTGCTCCTAATATCAGCCATTCTTTTGTCGTACTCACAGACTCGCAGACCACTTATTATTTATAGGCCGGCGGGACAAAGCTTGATTTGTTTATACACCTCAGACGAACTGTAGGTGCATTGGTCGAGGTGTATTCGAAGATACACCTTGGAGGTACAACGAAGAAACTGTAGGTGCATTGGTCGATACACCGCGGAGGTCCAGCGACGAAGCTGTGGGTGTATTCGAAGATACCCCTTGGAGGTACAACGAATAAACTGTAGGTGCATTGGTCGATACACCGCGGAGGTCCATCGACGAAACTATGGGTGTATTCGAAGATACCCCTTGGAGGTACAACGAAGAAACTGTAGGTGCATTGGTCGATACACCGCGGAGGTCCAGCGACCAAGCTGTGGACGTATTCGAAGATACACCTTTGAGGTACAACGAAGAAACTGTAGTTGTAAAAGTCTGAAAATCGAGGAAGTCAAACGACAATACATCTGGAAAGTATTGGGATAACATTTCCAACTAAGGAGACCCCGGAAGCAACCAGTGCCGGTCGAAAGAGTCGACGGAATGGATCGGGCAGGCAGATTGCCTTTCATCATGACCCGACGGCTGTGGACATTGCTCAGGATATCTCTGATTTGTCGTGTCAAGACTCGATTCAAAATATTTTGAGAACACCACTGAAGTAATATATTGTGTCGAATTTTGATTGTCCATACCATTTTCCTGATTATGCATTTATATGATTTTCAAAGCTATTTTACGTCATGTGAATATCTGTTAATCGAGATTATTCTCTGGCGTAAACGTTTTGAATTTCGCATTTTCACGAACAATAGAGAGTCAGGAGGCACATGTACTTGGCACTGGTTGGTTGGTTTGTTGTATAACGCCTCACTCCATTATTCCAGCTATAAGGCTGCGGTCTGTAAATATTCGAGTCTGGACCAGACAGTCCAGAGATTAATATCATGAGCATCGATCCACGCAATTGGGATCGATGACATGCATCAACCAAGTCAGCGAGCCTGACCATCAAAAAGTTCACATAGATATGATCTGTGCGGAAGTCCCGTTTTTCACATATTATTGTCTCAGTCAACTTCAGATGACCTTTGCTCTCATTTTTTACCAATTGTCCTGAACCTTGTTAAATAGCCAATGGTGACTGTGTTATTGTAATAGTACATCCGGTTATATTGTGTGGTTGACTAAGACCAAGGAATTAAAATTAAAGCTGACATTCAAATAAACTTGATGATATACACATTATTACATACTACTACATATCTACTGTCAGCAGGTTTACTGACAAGTGTCCCAAGGTTCAAAGAATTATGTGTTTCCTATCGAGGGGGATAGTGGTGAAGAAAGTTTAAAAATCAAATATTTTGACATAGTTAAACTTGGTTCTTATCTGATAACCACAAAAATCAAGCAAATAATTTATTTTTTTTGTGAATCCACATGTTATTAATTCCACTTGTCTCAATTACCTTTCGTGAATTTAAAGACGATCCTTCCTTGACTGTATCAAGAATTGTAGTTAATCATTGAGACATGGGTTTGGAGGTAGATTTGCTGGACCCAGCCATACATCCCTCGTTGTACTGATCTTTTTGGAGCTTTGGAATCCAGTACAAAAGAGGAATGGACTTCTCTTCAGGTTTTAAAGTCAGGCCAAACAGACTGGCCTTATGTGTGGCATTGTTTGTTATGTTACTTCTTTGATAAAATAAGTAACACTCTGACGATAACATGTAAAGGTTATGCTATTTGAGGCCTCATTAATGGGACCAACTACAATATATTTATGCGGGGAGGTCAGACTTTTGATGATAGCTGCTAATTCCTCTTTTTCAGTTTGCGCATTTGTCTCTTGCCCATTTGGGGTTGAGTGGGGCATCTCATTTATATAAACATTCAGTGGAACAACAAAATTGTGAAACAAACGTAAATTATGACAGTAATACTTTATTATAGCATCTCATATACATAATGACACCAAGAACTGCAATACTGATTCATAATTAACAGTAATATGTAAATACTTTATTTCAGAATGTCAAATACATATGAAAACTACATTACAGAAATTACATTACACATTAGTAGTAACATGTGTATTTGTTCCATCGTGTCGTAGGGCCCACTTTAAATAGCCTTGTATCCTAGGGGCACAATTGAAATGTGCCCTTGCATCCTTTAACATAGAAACCTCCAGTACGAGTCACGACATAGTTTCTGCCTTCGACACATGTGCCCTCCGAGGTCCCAGCGATAAGGGTGACACTGGCGATGGTAATTCTGTCAGGGTTTTTCCAGTAGACACGTGTTGCCGAAACAGCACCCTCGGGTAGGTTTACTTTCACGCATTGTGCTGAAAGGAAATATTCTGATATATTTCTGACACATTGGAAATAGAGGACGCCATAACTAAACATATACTTACAACCATGAATTTTAATCAAAACTTAGTTATATGAGAAAATATTATTTGGTAAAACTTGTTTAATTTTGTTTCGAACGTCCTGACAGAAACAAACAAAGGACATATTCTTTATCTTTCCTATTTCATATGTACGCCATGTTCTGTATATTGAGAGTTAGGACATATTCCTGCCTGCTTTCATAAAGCCCAGATTCATGGAGATTTCTCGATATTTGGGAAGAACGTTTAAATTATTAAATGCATAACTAGGCCCGGTAAACACTACAGTGGGAGGAATGACTCGGTTAATACTCACAAGCTGGTTCAGTCACTTCAACTGGGACGGTTGGCTCAACAACATCTTCAAGTAAAAGAGTGAAATAATGTGATGAAAGTGAAATTGTTTAAAGTTTTGGTGAGTAAGCTGCAAAGAGCCAATGAGTGATTATGGAAAACCGGGTTTTTACTCACCAGCTGGTTCCGTGACTTTAGCTGGCACCTCTGGCTCAGGGTCACAGAATTCTACAATTGAATACGAATAAATTGAGTGTCATGCTGTCAGGGTTGAACTGGTGATCAGCTTTCGAGGAGGGATGTCGTACAATGAGAAAGGTCATACATTGTAACCAAACAGTCCTTACAGTGGTCGTGTCTAATGTGGACAGAGAACTCATATCAACAACTGTTCATCACTTTTTAAAAAAGTTTGTCAACATGTTTGAAAACAGTTTCAAAATAAACATTATCCTTACCTCCAACACACTCTGCAGCTAAAACATAAAAAAACCAGAAATCATTCAAATGATAGTGCCATTAATGCAAACACAGATATGTTGGCCATTGGTTGGGTTTCCATAAATTCTTCTGCGATCTAGAGACTGAAAGTGACTTCAAGGAGATTAAAGCAGCAGCAATCAATATTATACTGATATCACAGCAAGATAAAACACTAAGACAAAGGAAGTATAGCTCAAAATGGATGTAAAAGATATGGATAGCATATAAAGCTGATACCAGGCAAAGATATGGCTGACATTGGTGATTATGTTATACCACTTGACACAACACAACCTGACCCAAGTCCTGAACTATTTCTGAATCACTTCATCTTAGCAAGTTAAATCATTGTTTAATCAGAGTTTATTGTAAACATAGAATTTCATTGCACAATTTTAATGTAAATGTATGTCGCAGGTCCAAAGACGGTGATATTGTAAACTCTATTTGTACAAACAGTTCACCTGGAGAAGTATAGGATGAATACCGTGTCTTACTTACATGTGAAACGTATTCCCATTTAAGGTATAAATTTCTCCCCATGTTGCAAGGTATTTTTAAAGACCGTCAGGTAATGATAATTCTGCTTAACTCTGAAAAACCTAATAAGATCCATGCTTTTTCTGTATTCTTGAAACATGTCTTTATAATGAGGAATGTATAACTTGATTTGAAATCTAATCATGTACATCACGTGACAAATGTTAATATCCAATCTGCATTGTACTATGGGCCTTGATGCCTAAATTACTGAATAAACTGTCTGTAATCAATATTATACTGATATCACAGCAAAATGAAACACTATGATAAGGTAAGTATATCTCAAAATGGACGCAAAAAATATGGATGGCAAAGCTGATACCAAGACAAGAAGACGAAATATGGCTGACATTGGTAATTATGTGATACCACGTGACACAGCACAACTTGACCCGAGTCCTGATCTGCTGTAAATGTTGAAAGCGTTTTGTTTTATACTCTTAAAGTCGTCCTCATGTTATAATGATTGAATATAGTTTAACGCCGCTTTCAGCAATGCTCCATTGGGTCTTTGGCGTGGCGGACCAACGCTTGAACCACTCGGCTACCCCCAAACCTGCGTCGTTATGTACCAAGGACAACATGCGGTACACTGACTGCAGTGAACTAATAGTCTCTTCAGTCTCAGAATCCACCTGTGACCAAATGAAGTGGAAGGAGGAGGTGTGATAAAGGGTCCTTTTTGTGCACTATATTACATAAATGACAACAAGCATTTCCTTTCATTCATACAACTTCCCCTTTACCTACAGAAGTAGGTAATATATTATTGTTATCACATTGTTATATTGTTTGAACGACATTCAATAAGAAAATCTGCGTTGTTCAAATTTTGTGTTCAAGTATTTATTTTAAGAACTCGTTTCACCACAACCAGCAGAAAACGATCCTTTTGGACACGTTACAGTCTTATCACAGCAGCTGGTGTTGTTAAAAATCGGAAAACCAGTTGGAAATCTTTTTAAATTCAGAATAATATGAATATGATAGTTTTCTTAAATTATTTGCCAATTTCAGATCTGGATGGTTTAAAGGAACCCTTATCACATCCCTTGAAGAAGCATATGGTCTACACTCACCGTTTGGTTCAATAGGTCCTTGTGGCTCAGGATTATCCGGAGCTAATAATATACAATATGACTATCTGAATAAATGTAATAAAATGTCATTAATGGCGTGAAGGTATTTTTGCTATATGTTTCTAAACGTAGCTATGTATTGCTAACTCGTTTCAGTTGGAATTGAGATAATTATACCCAGTTTTAAGTGTAGAGATGGGCTACCTGTAGATATCTCCTGTGGATTGATCCTATTTCTTCATGGCAAGATTAAAGGTGTACTTTATTCCACTTTACTTATCCGAAAATATGCTGAACATATGTAGCAAGCTACTTCGTAGGCCATGCTAATGAGGACAGCAGTTAAACATTAATTAAACATGAATTAAACATTGAAAAACTAATTCCACACCACACGTCACACCGCTAATTGTAACACAAACGATACCATGTCACAGTAACCACGAACTCTCTATTGTTCGTGAAAATACGAAATTCAAAACGTTTACGCCAGAGAATAATCTCGATTAACAGATATTCACATGACGTAAAATAGCTTTGAAAATCATATAAATGCATAATCAGGAAAATGGTATGCATGACCTGGTCTGCTTGAAGAACAATTATAATATCTAATTGTTTGTTTGCTGCCTTGCGCCGCTCTGAGCACTACTGTAAACAACCGAATCTAGGCAAGAACATTCAGAGTTCAGCCTCACCAGCAATGATCCACGTCCTCGGGGTACATTCTCTTCCATAATTTCTGTCGGCTTTGCTGCTCATTATATATTACAATACATACTCTGAATAGTGTAGTAACTGCTGCAAATCTGTATTATTGCAACCTCCAATTGTAGATATCATTTTTACATTATGCCCACCGACAACACTTGAGAAAGAAGTATTTTTCTGTAACTGTTAGCTGCCTCGGTGGTACGGTCGCGAAACGGAAGTGATAACTGTGATTTGAAACCTCTGACCGACATATCAGAATCGGAATCGAATCCAAATAGAATGTTGAAAACTTAATACCACTGAGGAGTGTGCATCTTTTATCAATCATGTCCATTTGAATTATTCTTACCTATCAGAACACCTCCTCCGTTTTCAGTAGACGAAGATGTAGAAGTTGACGTAGAGGTTGAGGTTGAGGTTGAGGTTGAGGTTGACGTTGATGCTGAATCAGCTCGAACATCTGTAACATACACAAATATTGGACAACTTCATCTCCACGCAAGGCTTCTTTGGGAATGCGAAGGCTGAAAACGTATACGGTACTGTATTCTCAATGTGACAAATTTTTCGAGAGGGGATGGATCGGTCAAAATGGTAGCCGTGAATATCATATACAACAGATAGCCAGCAAAGCAGGCGAAATATGGCTAACATTGTAGCAATGTCACACTTTCAGCATTGGTTTGTCTTGACCTGCCACTATGAGTGTGGACAATAATCAACCAGAGCGGTTTACTCTGTTTGGCCTTCTCCATTCGGTTAACACCATTTGGTCAGATGTCAGTCAACTTGCGGCTGAAAAGTGACCTTCTCAGGTCCGTTCATGTACACGTACCATGCATTTTACTGTCGCTTCCGAAACTCCATTTACACGCATTGAAACCACTCAGTGAGTCGAGAGAAGAATTCATATTAGACTAAATCCCAACACGTGACACAACACAAACTGAGCCATGGTGCTGATAAAGCAAAGATCATTATCCGGATGAATATGGGATTCGAATCCACGATCTTGCCACGGTTAAGATGTGAAACTCTTCACACACACACAGAAAGAGGACAGTTATGACTGTGCTTTCACTAACATCCCTTCAGTTCTAAGGATTAATACAAACACCAAGAGACCCGACAAAAAGGTCATTATTATTATTCAAATATACATTCAATTATCCATAGTCTCCTACTTTTTCAACAAAAGTTCACATGAACAGAATAGTCCATTTATAGCCAAATAAATCCTTGGAACATGCAAAGCCAGAATATCATCTCATTTTTATTAGGCATTTGTACTCTTTACATAGTCAAACATTAATGCGATCATGACATCACAATCAGTCAGCCAACTTTGATAGGATTACATTGGATCTATAAACTATTCTTCTCCCGAGTTACAAAAAATGCAACTATTTTTAACGAATATGTTCCACGGGAGACTAGTGTCTTCATCCTCAAAGCATTCTTTCTACGGCATACATCTTACATTTTTTGACAATATAACTGTCACCTGTCTTCTTACCTCTTACAGCTGAGAAGCACAAGCCTGAAAAATAACAATCGAGGGTGACATTATTCACTTTGAATATTTGGGTGAAAGACCGAGGTTAGCCTGTCTCCATTGGACGGAAAAGGCAAAATACCATGAATGGATCGCTGTAAATCAGTGATGTCACGAGGTGTTCGTGCAAAGGATAGGCGTGTCCTGTTCTACGGGTGCACCCGCCACTGACACAATTTGTATAAACAGGCCGTTATATGAAGGATTCGTTATTTCCCTTCGTCTGTGGGTTTGTGTATTATCATCAACGAGATACGACACATCGAAGTAAAAACAGATTAATTGGTTCATGAAGTTCAAGCCCAAAGAGGCAACCGATTTAAAGATTAAGTATCAATCAATCAAGTACATTGAGGTCGGCCTCCGGCCAATAACAACATACGAAGTATGTGTCCATCAGGCACTCTGTCAACTCTGTGACACCGACGTACTCAGACGGCGTCCATGTTTCTCAATACTACCAACCGTTGCTTTGTATGGTTCAAACTCGACACTAGGTATAGTTTACCGTCATACGGCTTGAGTATTGGCGTAAAACAACGTTCACTCTCGATGTTTCACGAGTTTTGGTCATTTTTACCCCGATTACGGTACAAGAAAGCCATAACAATGGATACGACGTCCTCCATCGAGGTAATACAATTTAAGTGCATTTCAGTAATCAAAATTCTTTTCTCGGTATTTTAAATTGACCATGTCCCATATAGGAAATCAAACGCAAAACGTTTTCGTGACAAACGAGGACATGACCCACTGCCCTGTCAACGATCAGTTTCTTCAATGACGAAGACAATCTTTGGTATAGCATTTGTGTCTTCTTTCACCAAAAAACAACGATTACCATTATAGAATTAGCGTGGCCTGTTCTAAGACCGACATCCAAGTTAATGTCATTGATGTAGAATGATGACGAACTTACCAATAGCGATCAAGCACAAGACAGATACTTTGGTTGAAGTCATGGCTGCTGGCGAACTGGTCTGATATTCTTGTGATCTGATGTTCAGGAGTTCTGCGGTATGGACTGACGGCTTGAACTGCACCTTATATAGTAATCGTAGATGTATCCAGGTCACTTGAAAGGTGAAAGGTTCATATCAATAAACATTTATACTAACAATATGTACCGTTTATGACTTGGATGTGGATGTTTACATCAGTTTAATGAAATGTTTCAATTAGGATTAACCAGCCGTCGTTGACATACGCGTCAAGGTGATGGTATTTGCTTAGCAATTCCATTACTACATGTGTGTAGACACACTTGCTGCATCTCAAGGTTATTTCAAAGACATGCTGTTTCATAATATGTTTGGATTCAGTCGTAGTGACATTCAAATTATAACATGGTTATGCTGTTCTGCGGGAACGTTGCGGACAGTTTGTGCTGCGTCCTCGAGTTTTGTAAAACCCACGTGCATGATATGTCACTACTAAACCTTTAAGAAGCATAAAAAGATATAGATTCGAATAAGAATTCTGGTCATAAAAGTGGAATGAAATGGATCGGGTGGACAGATTGCGCGTTATCGTAACCCAACTGCGGTGGATATTGCTCATAATATCAGCCACTGTCGTGCTAAGACTCAATTATGTTCATGCCACCGAGACAAAGCGTGAATATTGCTGACTGGCATTAAACCCTAACATATTTTGAGAATAATCCTGAAGTGATATATTCAGAGATATTTTACTGTGAGTGAATCACGTACACCATGAAACCAGTGCTTTTCAAGCTCGAAATATTGGAGGAATATTTTGATTCTCAGAAATGTTTTCTTCATGTTTCAGCAGCTTTCTTCCTTTTTCCTTTCTATATATTTTGGAAGAAAACAGTCTGTTGCAGACGGATCTGATTGGCGTGATGCCGCTTTGATCAGTATTTCAGTTTCTTTACGGATTTCAATTTAATGTGGGGTAAAGGCCGGAAGTGATGTAGGTTTTAGGCGTTCTGACAGAACTCGGCACTTCAAAACTTGTGCACCCAGACACTCTCTTCCTGGTGGACGAATGTATATCACAACAAAGATTCATGATTATGATGATCGTATTATTTTCCATGCGAATTTATTTATTATCTCAAACAGCAATAAATCATGATACAATAGCCTTTAAAGAATAGTATACTATTACAGATCAAGTTTTTGTCACATCAAATTCCAGCAAATATATAATATTAATTGTAATAGCTACTTACAAAACTTTTCTCAGAACCTGATAACATCAAGACATGCTTTTTAGCACTCAGAGACTGTTTACATATAATTTCAATTTTGAATAAAAGCAATTAAATGAAATTTTAATTATTTACTATATATTCATGATCATAGTTTACAAACCCGCTATAAACAAATTCAAAAACGCATTTAGCTCTATTGAATTATACACCCTTCATTTCGATTGCTGTTAATACTGACCCATTCAATTATCATTGTTCAATAAATGAGGTTAAGGAATAATGACGTTCTCGAAAGTCGTATATGTCACCTTCCGGTGAATCCACATAAGAAGAAGAAGAAAAAGATGCCCGACCCCCATTGGTCTCGGTGCCTTAGGTTTGGTACCTCCCAATCTCACATTTAGAGAGTACCCGGGTTTGCTACCAGGAATTGGGCCTTCTAATTGGAGAGTCTTCACATTCTCCGAAAACGTCTGGGTGGGTTTCCTGGGAGTCCCATTCGCTGTCTGGTCTGTGTGTAGAGGGGGAAAGGACCATGAGCTGATGATGAGCATAACCAGCATGACTGTCCAAGGATCACCCAAACCTTCTTTGCTACATTTTCTATTTTAATCTGTAACTAGTAGAAGTAGTAGCATTTGTAGCATCAGCATCAGCATCAGCAGCAGTAGCAGTAGTAGTAGTAGTTTGCGACAAGCATAGACACCTTTTAGGGCAAGCATGGGTTGACTGAAGACCTATTCTAACCCGGATCTTCACGGGTCAGTAGTAGTAGTAGTAGTAGTAGTAGTAGTAGTAGTAGTAGTAGTAGTAGCCGATCACACATACCCGAGTGGAATTCCTACCTTTGGTTTGTGGACCACGACATGTCTGGAGGAATACTGCTCTGTACAGCGATTTGCGGCACTTCATACGTGTTTTACTGCATACTGTATTCTTGCAATGACGTGAAAACTGACGAACTATGTCCACATTCCTGACCCCTGTGGAATCCCGAGCACGAATACATACAGAAGCGTTGTTTCTCATCATTTAGACCCTTTAATCTTATACTTGGCGTTTTAGCATACATTGTAATGAGAGTTTAATTTTTTGCCCCTTCAAGGATATCCTCGCTACAACCCACCCAAGAGAACAAAACGAAGAAAAGCACATCCAAACTATCGTGGTATCGACTCGATCCGCGTCTAGACTACAGTGACAGTCTACAGCAATATATGAATTGACCTCAGTATCTATTGGACACATCTTTCCAATCATCTTTCTATGATCAACCAATTCATCAGTGATGACTAACACTTGTAATAGCCACAGGTTAACAAAGTTAACAACTTCGGAAACCACTCCCGTCACGTTTATCGTGTCGGCCGTTTTGTCGTATTTTAAATGTATTACGACTCACTGTCGTTGTGATTAATTTACTAAGGTTGTTCTAAACAGACCCTAACCGTGAAGATCCAGGGTAGAATAGGTCTCCAGCAACCCATGTTTGCCCTAAAGGCGACTATGCTTGTCGTAAGAGCCGACTAACAGGATCGGGTGGTCAGACTCGCTGTCTTGGTTGATGCACGTCATCGATCCCAATTGTGTGGATTGATGCTCATGATGTCAATCACTGGATTGCCTGGTCCAGACTCGATTATTTACAGACCGCCGTCATATAACTGGAATATTGCTTCATGCGGCGTTAAACAACAATCAAATAAACTTAAAAGACCTTTCTCATATAATGAGGTTATCATTTGAATAAATATGTTGTAAAGAAACTACTAAACGATATTGCATGAACGATATACCTGAAGCTTTTCTTTTGGCCAAATTCCCTTGTTTTGCTTGTGTCAATCCGAGCAGAAATTCCAATTTCTATTCATAAAGAATAGCACACAATTGGTGCTCATGAGGATGCCAACTTCTTGTCTACGTTTCCCATCCACCAATTTCTCATATAATGATGTCATGCGTGATGAAATCTCGTTTTTCAGTCAATTTCAGATGACATTTGCTTTTGAAATATTGTCCAGAACTTTTGGAGAAAGGTATAACTTTGTCTATGCTCAGCACGTTTAAAAACAAATGCCCATGGATCAATGAATTAAGTGTTTCCTTAGGTTGTGGAGTGGAGTAGTGGTGTACAAAGTTGAAGAATCAAATGTTTTGACATATATAAACTTGGTTCTTTTCTGAGAATGCAAAACTACAAGCAATTTCTCAAATATTGGAATATGAAGAAAGTCCTTCCTTGACTGAAGTAGGAAGTATAGTAAATCTATGAGACAGCGGTAAGCTGGTACATTTTGGAGCTTTGGAATTCAGTAAAAAAGAGGAATTGACATGTTTTCAGGTTTCAGAGTCATGCCAAATGTAATGGTGGGTTGTTTTTTTACACTGTTAACAGACTGGTTTCACATGTGGCATTATTTTATATGACACTTCTTTGGTCAAATCTTGAATGTTGTGATGCTTACATATAGACGTTATGTTCTTTGAGGCCTTGTCAGTAGGAACAATTACAATTTAGTTATGTAGGGCAGACAGGTTTTGGGTGACTGTTGGCTTGGACAAAATGGGTGTATTCCAATTCGTATTCGTCTTTTTCAGTTTTGCATTCTACCAATGGCATCATCACGTACTGACGTAACCCACTCCGGGGTAGAATACGTCTTCAGTAACCCATGCTTGTCGTAAGAGACGACTAACGGAATCGGGTGGTCAGGTTCGCTGACGTGGTTGATGCATGTCATCGATCCCAATTACGTGGATAGATGCTAATGATATTAATCACTGGATTGTCTGGTCCAGACTCGAATATTTACAGACCGCAGCCTTATAGCTGGAATAATGGAGTGAGGCGTTATACAACAAACCAACCAACCAGTGCCAAGTACATGTGCCTCCTGACTGTGTGGGGTTAAGTGGGACATCATTATTAACTTTCAAAAAAAAACAACTATTGTGAAACAAACGTAAATGAGGACAGTTACACTTTATTTTAGGATTTCAAATACATTACTGCTGCAAAATTAATAATAATGTGTGTACTTGTTCCATCGTGTCGTGGGGCTCACTTAAAATGGCCTTACGTCCTAGGGGCACAGTTGAAATGTGCCCTTGCATCCTTTAACATAGAAACCTCCAGTACGAGTCACGACATAGTTTCTGCCTTCGACACATGTGCCCTCCGTGGTCCCAGCGATAAGGGTGACACTGGCGATGGTAATTCTGTCAGGGTTTTTCCAGTAGACACGTGTTGCCGAAACAGCACCCTCGGGTAGGGTTACTTTCACGCATTGTGCTGAAAGGAAATATTTCTGATATATTTCTGACACATTGGAAATAGAGGACGCCATAACTAAACATATATTTACAACCATGAATTGTAATCATAACTTAGTTATATGAGAAAATGTTATTTGGTTAAACTTGTTTAATTTTGTTCCGAACATCCTGACAGAAACAAACAAACGACATATGCTTTATCTTTCCTATTTCATATGTACGCCATGTTCTGTATATTGAGAGTAAGGACATATTCCTGCCTGCTTTCTCTGAGGACCCTGTCTACTTCCATAACGCCCAGATTCTTGGAGTTTGGGAAAAACGTTTAACTTATTAAATGCATAACTAGTCTCGGTAAACACAGAATGGGAGGAATGACTCGGTTAATACTCACAAGCCGGTTCAGTCACTTCAACTGGGACGGTTGGCTCAACAACATCTTCAAGTAAAAGAGTGGAATAATGTGATCAAAGTGAAATTGTTTAATGTTTTGGTGAGTAAGCTGCAAAGAGCCAATTAGTGATCATGGAATACCAGTTTATTACTCACCAG